CCACCCATTCACACACACATTCACACACACATTCACACACTGGTGATGGACACTGGCATCACCGGGCCCGCTGACCACCACATTCACAAATGTGAATCTCTGTCCAAAAAATCCACTCAGTTTACTTCTTACTCACTATGAGCATCATTATTCTCCCCAGTAATTAAGGTTAGGATATGCACCAACATAAGCATCAATAACAGTAAATAATAAATATTGAATGTTACTGAGCAGCACACAGGACTGATGCTACACGATATGCTTAGAGCCAGCGAACCAAGACAGAGCGTCTCTGTGTGTACCTGTGTGCACACCTGTGTGCGTGAGCACGGTACTATTCAAAAGGTTTCTCCACGTAAGTGTGTAATAGTAGGTGTGGGGAGCCCCGCCCCCGAGGTTAGCAGCAGGTATGGAGGAGATCCAGGGCCCAGGCATCTAGAGGCCCCTCAGAGACGAGAGCCCAAAGAGGACCACCCCATGATTTCCACAACATGTATTCTTTCATAAAACTATGTGTGTGTGGGCTGCAGCGCCTCACTGTGGAACGATGAAACAACTGCAGTTACTGTTTCACAGCACTGCAGAAGTCGACTGTATTTTAACGTCAGTTATTCGGCCTTTTATCTGAGAAATGTGACAGAAAGAAAGTTAAACAATCCCATCTAACTGTTTTTAAAGAGCAATCACACCGACGATGAAAAAAGCACCACTAACGTTTCTGCTGCTTGCTCTCATCTCAAATCTCAGTTCCTTTGTTTGTTTGTTTGATGAAATCAGCTCAAATCGCTGTTCTGGCTGAGAGTGAACCACTGTCTCTGTTAACAGCTCTCACACAGGGAGTCAGCCCTCCCCTCACGACCTCTGACCCGGCTGCTGTTTACATCAAAGACACATTTGTGTGTCTGTGTGCTGCAGTCGTTTGAAATACATTTGATATACTATAAAATTCTACAGATCACTTTTATCTACATTTAGACATAAACTTGGCTTCACTGAGCAGGTTTGTGAGGTCTGTTGAGGGTTTTAGGTTTTCAGTGACCAACACCAACATGGGTGGGGGTGGGTGGTGTGGGTGGTGTCATCAGATAAGCAGTTGCCTCATGTCAAGAGAAAATCTGTATTTCCTCACACACACACGCACTCGTTTTTGTCCTTTGCGAGGACGTTACGCTGACTTTTGACTGACATCTTGAAGACCCTGAAACACTTGAGTACCCATTAACCAGCGCTGACCTCGCCGCCTGCAGCTGTGACGGTTCATCGTGCGGCGCCCTGCAGTTCCAGTCAGAGGAGGGTCAGAGGGAGGACCCGAGCTGGAAGCAGTCACATGGGCACAGCTGGAGTTAAGTTTCACTTCTGTGCTGCAGAAGAAGGACGATGGAGGGTCTGAAGGGTCTGCTGGTGCTGGTGCTGCTCTCTGTGCCGCGTTCAGGTGAGTCAGACGTGCAGCTTTCCCTTTGACTCTGCGTCACTCTGTGAGGCTTTGGTATCATTTTAACTGACAGTGAATCATAGTTGACAACATGGAGGTGATAATAATAATATTAATACATTTTATTTAGAAGCGCCTTCAAAGGTCTTGAAGGTTTCCTTACATTCGTGTAACACAATAAAAACAACTATGGATCACGATGAAGGTATGAAATTCTAGATGGTTTTAAGATGTGATTTAAAACTTATTGAGAGAGTTGGTGGTCTGGAGATCTGGTGGAGGTGCAGCCAAAGTGTGGGCTCTGAGTTTCGTGGTAGTCAGGTGAGCAGGTGGAGCAGACAGAAGGGAAGCTGAAGAAGAGCGGCGTGTACGATGGAGTGAGTATGAAGATCAGATAAATATGGAGGAACGAGGTTATGAAGCGCTTTGAAAGTGAGAAGCAGGATCTTGAAATTGACGTGGAGGTGAACTGGAAGCCAGTGGAGCTGTTTAAGGACAGCTGTTATATGTTCAGTGGATCTAGTTCTGGAGATAATACGAGCAGCTGTATTTTGAACCAACTGCAGTTGATGGAGGGATTTATGAGGCAGAGCACAGAGAAGAGAATCACAGTAATCTAAACGAGATGTGACGAGCATTGACAAGTATGGCGGTACTGTTTGAGGTGTGAGAGGGACGAAGGCGCTAATATTACGGAGATGAAAGTGGGAAGACCGAGTGATATTATTTATCTGTGCTGTGAAGGACAGAGGGCTGTCGAGGATGACACCAAGACCCTTAACCTGCACCATCACCTCACAGGAATGGGGTTCTCCAAACACCTGCGTCTACCTGGGATCTGGATAAACTGGATAGACTCCCAATCCTGTGGTGCCAAAGCAGATGATGGACGAGTTACATGCACTGAATAAATCTGTCTAATCATAAAAACTTGAAACAATCACGACTGTGAAGCCCGTGTTCATTCACAGCAGTCATGGTAAAAGTTACCGTTGGTGTGAAGTATTTCAGTGTTGTACTACAACACACGTGTGACGTTTGTCCAGCCTGGACGTCCTCCTGGGTCTGGACGCTGTCGAGAGGACGTCTTGGATCTGCTGACAACAGAACTGAGACGGTTTAACGTGAAATAAACAGAAAAAACATTCAACTTTAGTGCTCAGTGACTACTCTTACTGCTTCACACTTCTACTGAATCAAGTTTTCAACTGCAGGACTTTACTCTGTAGTGGAGTAAAAGTACTTTAAGTGGAAGTACTTCACACAAGGACCACAGCGGCTTGTAGCGTGACAGGTTCGGGTGTTTTCTGTGGAAAAAACTCAAAGTGTAGAGTTGTTGGTTCAGGAGATCAGATCTAAACCTGTAAATAATCAACCTGAACAAACACACACACACACACACACACACACACTGAGTGTGTTTTAATCGTCACTTTGTCAGATTGTCACTCAGCAACGATCCTCCAGGTTAGCAGACGGACATCAGTGACTCTGTGAGACGAACATTAAACTGTCTTTGTGCTTCGTTCGCTTCTGTTTTTGGAAGTGAGCCTGAAAATTGTGCAACTTTCACCAGA